CCTCGGATGGCGTGAAGGTCACCAACGCAGCACCGGCACCAGGAGTTGCGCGGGTGCTCTGCTTGTGACCACGACCGAGGGGCATGCAGAGGTGCTTGAGCGTCCGTGAGACGCCACAAAGGGGAAGATGGTTGGCATGTTCTGTGCAGCGCTCTTTATTCTGTTTGGGTCATAGAGCGTGTGTCTGCTTTTACTAGAAAAGCTGCCAGACCGGGAAAATTTCTACAGCGGAGACGGCAGTACAGTCTCATACGAGGCGCGATGCCGGTGTGCAGACAGATCCAAGTCACGATGCTGTCCAAGGCTGCCAGCAAGAAGTCCAAGTGGATTACACTAGTCTTCTGTTGTTCCTTCGGAGAGTGGAAGATGCTGTTATCAAAGAGCTAAATGAAAACTGGAAAAGCCGTGCCTTTGATGGCTTTGAGGTGAACTGGACAGACCAGAACGAAACAGTAAGTTGGCAGAATTCAGATCCTTGTGATTACCCAAGTGGAGTTGGTTGCAGTCGCTCCGACTCGTTTGTTCTATTTCTTACTGCTGTGATTGTTCTTGCCAGATTCTAATAATTAGACATTACTGGTTGTTGTTTCCTCCAGCTTTCTCCCTTGCCTGTGGCCTGGCCTTGCCTGGTACAGCTGTTCTTCCTGCTAGTGGCTGGGGTGGAGCAGCTTTGTGAGAAGGAAGCCTGCAGCTGGCGTAGGCTTATCGCCAGCTTCCAGTAGCCCCTTTAGAGCACGCCAGACTAGCAGGTCCCTGGGAGCAGCTGCAGTCAGCGATTTGGCTTAGGTTAGATTTGTTTAGTGTACAGTGCTCCGGAGTGGAAGCAATTTGTGTCGGTCAGTACATGTTGGTACCGTCATTTCCAAACCATTGCTTGTGAAGTGTAGCGAGTTCTAGACTCGTACCTGGGGGGCTGTCGCAAATCCTTATGGCGCAGCCTGCCAGAGTTGTCCTGCAGCCCCTGAAGGGTGCAGTCTGGGAGGGGTAATTACGAGGTGACAGTTGGTTTGGCAGGGTTGTGTGTGTGGCTTTTTCCCCCAGTAAGAATTCAACAACTTTTTCACGTTTATCTGTGTGCTGCTTGGACAGAGGAGAAGCCAGCGCTGTAACCATGCGATTGTATGCAGGGGGTGCACAGATCTCAATGCTCTGTGTTTGGAGATTATGGCTTCAGTGCTTGCATTTGATCTCTTCCAGGTGTTGTGTTTGCATGCGTTGTCGTACCCAGAAGCTCAGGATCAAAGCCTACAGGTTACCGGTGTCTCGTGGAACGCAACCGGCTCCGTTGTTGCATGTTCGTATGGCCGGTGAGTACCTGAACGGCTCGAGAGCGCAGCTGAGGGCGATGGGACATCTCAGGCTGACCTGAGTTGTAGGTACGTTCCCTTTCTCTGCAGTAATAGAGTAGACATATATATGCACACCTTATGCAAGTTAAATAATTCATATTCAAAGAAACAAAATCTCAGGGTAGTCTTAAATTATGACTTTTGTTTCTTCTACCTTCCCCTCTGCCCTGAAAACGGATACATGTACTCTTACAGATCTGTTTCTAGATAGATTCTATATCTGGAAAGAAAATGTAAAGAGCAGGTGCACTTGCAAATACAGGCAGGTGAGGTTTGGAAGTACGTGCTTATCTTCGCTGAAGATCGTGTTGTTTTATGTGGTCTCTTGGCACCCCGGCTGAACCTGGCACCCACTCACGTGTGTGCCCGACGCCACGGACATGTGCTAACAGCCAGTTAAGGCTTTCTGACATGAGGGTTGGCCAAACCACTAATCTAATGCTGTGAATGGCTGTAGCAGCCTCTCCTTTCTGTGCCCTGCTGCTGCCCTAATTGCTTTTTCGTTCCACTGATGTGTCCCCTTAGATTAAAAGCCCCATCAAAAAGGGGATCCATGAGTGAATGCGTAGGGAAAAGCAAAACAGGCCAAACCTGTATGGTACTGGCTCCTTCTGCTCTCCCAGTCTACAGCTCTTTTCAGACTAGAATGTGGTGTCTGTCTGTGGTTACCCTCGGTAGAATTCCCTACCGTGAGCTTACACAGTCTCCATGAATCTGTGTAAACTTTTAGCATTTACAACATCCTTTAATAAGAAGTTTCACAGATCAGCTACCCATTGGATGAAGAATTGCTCCTTTTATTTGATCATACCTCTTCCAGTAAAACAACTAAGAGCATCAAATAAAGGCACTAGAAGTCAGGCTGAAAATCATTGCTTCCTGTCCTGACCACTGACTGTTCCATAGATCTGTCCTCCGTATCGTCTCCTTGTAGCAAGACAGGACATCGCGTTGGTCAGGGTGGTGCTCGTGACAGAGTATGTGTAGCGTTTCGCCTCAACGTGTAAGCTTGCGATGAATGAAACCGGTAGAAATAATGAAGTAGAGTGGCAGGTGTCTGTTAGCCTCCCGGAGCCGTAACTCACGCTCTGCTTGTGGCAAACAAATATGATGGGTGTAGGACTGGACTGAAAGCTCGAGAGCTGGGGTGCGTGGTGTGATGCGTGCGGGGTCATCAGCACCATTTGGTGTTCTCTGTTCCCATGGAGGCACGCGGACTTCAACTCATGCTCCTTGTCTCGGGCCAAGCAGGACTCAGTCAGTCTTTTCAGCCCCATCATTCCTCTGGGTAAGGTATTTCCTCACTGTGTATCCTCAGACCCCGGGTCTTCGAGTGCTTGTTTAGAGGAGGAGTAGTTTGCAGCTCAGCCTGCGTGCAAATTGGCAGCAAGTTGGTCTCCTCAGATTTTCATTCTCAAATACAGCAAGTTTCTGTGTGTGCTCTTTAGATTGTTCCCATTATTTGAATGGTTGGCAGGCCCTGGAATAGTGAATCGTACCTGAGCTTTACGTGCAGGCGCTTTGTTCTGCAAGTACACCGAGACGTGCTGTATACACACTGCAGAGAAGTTCCTCGTGATCGCGTCACCTCCGTTTCACTTCAAGGCACAAAGCAGCGCACCTTTCAGTGACCAATGGGACGTACCAGAGCTCTGCTAGGCTGGGATTCTCTGCGGAAGAGACAAGGCGAGACGTAGCTTTCTCCTCTTCAGGTTGGATGATGGGGACTGGAGCACAGAAAAATCCTACGTCTGTACCTGGAATCTGGACAGAAGAGGGTTGAATCCCCAGTGCCCTGACCTGGTGGTGGATGTTCCCAGTTCTGTCATGTGCCTGGCCTTCCACCCCTCCCAGCCTTCACTGATAGCTGGTAGGTTGCTCTTACCTTAGATCCTATCTGAAATGCACCCTTCTTTCCTTCAGCTTGGATCATTTTTTTTCCTCTGTCTGTGCTCAGCTTAAGATTTCTTGCAGGAGTAATGGTGTTGCACCTCCTCAGACTGAGGAACTAATGCTCACCAACATCAAGTGCCCTGTTGCTTCTGAACACGGACTTGCTGCTTTTTCAGTGACAGCTGCCTTGATATCATCTCCCCAGAGAGAGGTGATAGCAGGAAATTCAGCCCTGGGTGTACGTGGGAAGAGTGTGATTATAGCTGTATTCTCTGCCACCAGAGCTGACTGGGCCCTGTGTGTAGCTGCCAGTCCTTTGACGCTGGCGGGCCCATTTCCAGCACAGCTTCATTTGTGCATTTGCTCTGAGCTATTAGACCCCGGATGGTTCATCCTTGTCCTTTCAGGTGGCCTTTTCAGTGGGGAGCTGGTGGTGTGGGATACCAGCAGGACAGAAGACCCTGTGGTCTGGAGGACGGGGATGACAGATGACACGCACACCGATCCCGTCTATCAGGTAACAGAGGACACCTACAGCAGACACGGCTGGGCCAGGCGAGCGGTGCCACTGCTCCACCTCATCCCGTCAGCTCCTGTTCACAGACGGGCTGCTAGGGTTCA